TAAACCACCCCTGACTCATCCCTTTCCTAATTTAAAAACCATGCAATGTTCCTCCCTTGCACTGATGGGGCAGCACCTTCTTGGTCTTAGGTAAAGGTTTTGTATGAGTACTTTTAAGTGTTTTGGGGTACTCACTCTTCTCAAAGTTAATTTGTTACGATCCAGTCTAATGTCTTCACGTAGTCAACACAATCTATGAATTCCTAGAAGCTCCAAAATTGGTTTCAGGAAAACCTGACCCCAGCACCACAGCTGGCATAAGTTAACTCTGATTGTCACTTCATCACAGCCTGCCCTTTCTCAAGGAAATTCCTCTGAATGTCTTCACTACACGATCTCAGAACTTGCCCCACCAGCCAAGCAACCTCTAGAAATCCCAACGTAGACATCTGAGCAAAGATGCAAAATTAGCTACTTTGAGTAACGGGTGGGTTTGCATATAATGTGGGCAGTGACACATACATCCAGACAGCATCTTCTCTCCTGGGAGTTTCTGTCTCATGAGACAGAAGAGAAACAATGAGGAAAGCTCTCACTTCCTCCATTGTAAAAGAAACCAGGCTTATTCAATTCCAAATCTGGAAGTTCATTTTTTTTTGCTGAGACTCTAGAAAACACATGCTGGTGTAGCCCTCTGAATGTAGATGTCACTGTACTTTAAAATTCTGATTTGGGGATGAGTAGACATGGTGACAGGGAAGGAGAAGTACAGAGACACATTGAGAGATTTCCCCAAGTCTTTTATGAATTATCTCTGATGACTTCAAATGGAAATCGTTTCGTGTTTGAGCTAAAGCTTCTATTGGATAAAAGCCCCCTGTACCAATAAAGGAGTGGAGTGGATTGTTAACAAATGTTTGTTGAACTGTATCAGGCACAGAAAGCATGCATCTTAATTCTGCAGCTTCTTTCAACTCAGGTTTATTAGAAGGAAATGTTCAAATCTGTAATGCTTGTCCTATTTACCTTGGAGCCTTTAAAAAAATCACAGTTCCGGTTTTGAATACCTTTGGTAAGCAAGTGGGCCTGATAAACTTGTTAATTAACAAGGAAAAACCAACACACAGAAGGTTATCTTATCAACATCCCCTCTTCCTTTTGCTGCTGCTCCCTAGCTGAAAAGAGGGCTGTTGTGTTGAATTTCAGGACATGTAGAGGCGATGTGGTATAGACCCTGTTCACTACAGAGTATTTCTTAGTATTTATATTCTTAGGAATTCATGGAAGAGGAATAAAGTGATGCACACTGAGTGGTGGCTTTATTAAATCCTGAATACACTCACACACACACACACACAAAAACCACAAAAACAAACAAACAAAAAACTCACTGAGTTAGCATCAAAGCAAAGCCAATCTGGATTTCTAAGAAAATGGTCCTACCACTATTACAAAAAGTAAGAAAAGAAAACAGCTGTGAGATATCATCACACTCCAGTCAAAATAGCAAAATTTAACAGAACAGCAAGCAACAAATGCTGGTGAGGTTGTGGAGAAACCGGAACCTTTATGCACTGTTGGTGGGAGTGTAAAATGGTGCAACCACTGTGGAAGGCAGTATGGTGCTTTCTCAAAAAGTTGCAAATAGAAATACCACAACCCAGCAATTCTACCACTGGGAATATACCCTAAAGAGACCATAACTGACATCCAAGCAGATATATGCACACCCATGTTTATCACGGCTTTGTTCACAATAGCAAGGAGCTGGAAACAATCTAAGGGCCCATCAACAAATGAAATGTATAGAGAAACTGTGGTATATTCACATGATGGAATACTACGCTGCATTGAAAAACAAGGAACTCATGAAATATAAAAAATGGGTGACCCTGGAGGACTTTATACTGACTGAAGTATCTCAGTCACAAAAGGAAAAATACTGCATGGTGCCACTGTTGTAAAACAGGACTGACCTCGGGGTTGGGGGAGACCAAGATGGGTTCAATAATGTATACTGCATTGAAACAGATGAGGGAGAAAACAGTTTAAGAGGGCTATGTTATTAGGTATTTTTGTTATGACAGGTGTCTAGAGCAAAAGCTGCATAGTGGAGTGGACCTGCGGGGAGGGATTGTAAAACAATGAATTTTTCTTTTACTTTTCCAAGAGGGTAGTGTACTAGGGAGGAAGGCTGGGAGGGAAGAAAAGTACAACAATGAATGAATGGAAATCCAAAGTCTCTGTAAATTTTCATTGAAATTAATAATAATAAAAAAGGAAAGGTTTACACACAGAATCAATATTGGAGGGTGAAATGGGAGAGTGAACATTAATAAATAGGTAAGTTGGGTGAAAGGCAGTATCAATATGTTGATTCTTGTTGTTCTTGTGTACCATTGAGACAGAAACAACCCATAGCTGACCCTCCAGCAGGTTTTCGGAGGGAGTTAATCGCACGGGAGATTGCCCATCCTTCTCCCATGGAGCAACTGGTGGCCGCAAACTGCGTACCTTGGGGATTACACTGCAGCTTCTTGCCACTAGGTCACCAAAGCTTGTCGTGTTACGTGCTGTGAGTTGCTTGCAACTCATAGCAACCCTAAGTACAACAGCTCTGAACTCTGCAAGACAAGATTGTAGTTTTTCCAAATGGATCTTTTTCAGGTGGCAAACACATACATGAAGAAATACTCAAAGGCCCTAGCTCTAAGAGAGATGCACCTCATAACAAAGATGAGACATCACCATAGCCCAGTAACAACAGCCAAATGCTGGCGAGGTTGTGAAGAAACTGTGGAGCACTTATTCACTGTCGGTGGGAGTGTAAAATGGTGCAGCCACTCTGGAAGGTTGTATTGCGCTTTCTCAAAAAGTTGGAAATAGAGATACCATTTGACCCAGCAACTGCACTACTGGGAATATACTCTAAAGAAATGAGAACAGCTACCCAAGCAGATACATGCACACCCGTATTTATTACTGCATTGTTCACAATAGCTAAGAGATGGAAGCAAACCAAGTGCCCATCAGCAAATGTATGGATAGAAAAGCTGTGGAATATTCACACAATGGACTACTACGCACCACTGAAAAATGAAGAACTCATAAAATATTATACAATGGGTGACCCTAGAGGACATTATGCTGAATGAAATAACTGTCACAAAAGGACAAATACTGAAATACTGCATAATGCCACTGTTATAAAACAGGATAGACATGGGAGTTGGAAGAATCTAAGAAAAGAGGGGATAATGAACACAGCAATAAAGATGAGGGAAAGAACTGTCTAATATATATATATATATGATTGGGTATTATTTTCATGACAACAGTCCAGAATAAGAGGTGTATAGCAAAGTGGACTGGGGACAGGGCAGAGAGCAAATTGTGCAACAATGAAAAAAAAGAATAGTGAACTGGGGAGGGAAGAGTGGGTAAGGAGGAAAATGTCCAACAATGAATGAATGGAAATCCAACTTTTGTGTAAACTTTTGTTAAAATATCAATGAATAACAATGACAAAAAAAAAGCAAGTAAGCATGTGAACAGAGAAGGGATAAATGTGAACAGAATGCCTTCATGCATGGTTGCAGGGAAACGGAAAATATACTCTAAACTTTAAAAAAAAATAAAATAAAAAGACTACTATCCTAACAACCCATCACATAGCAAGAACATTTGTACAACTCCATCCCAGCTAGTAAATATTGTTGCTGTCATGTATTATCAAGTGGCTTACGACTCACAGTGACCCTATGTACAACAGCTCTTAACCCTACCCTATCCTGCGCCAACCTTATTGTCTCACACACCTATCCCCATCACCCTAATCACTGCATCAATCCGTCTCATCGAGGGTCTTCCTGTCTTGCACTGCCCTTGACCCTCCCAAGTATGATGTCTCTCCAAGGACTGGTCCCTCCTTGACACATGTCCAAAGTATGTCAGACAGAGCTTTAGAATCCTGCCTCCAAGCAGCAGCCTGGTTTTACCCTCTCTAGAAAGAAACCGCCTAGCAGTCCATGGTTTATTTAATACTCTTCTCCAGCACTATAGCTCAAAGGCATCAATTCTTCTATCATCCCTAGCCATTGTTCAGTTCTATGGTGCATACTGTGTAATTGTGAAGACTATGGCTTGGATCAGGTGCACCTTAGTCTCCAGACTGACACTGTTGCTCTTCAGTACTGTGATCCAGACATAGTACTACAGTTATATTTAAACTACAGATAAAGTTAAAATATAGTATGACAAAGTTAAGAGAGTTATAGTAATCTTGGCAATTAAGCATAAAAATTCATGTTCACTGATGTTTAATATTTGGAAGTGATTTATTTATGAAATTTTACGTACAATCTTCAATATCTACTTGACAATGTAAGTAAACTAGGAAAAATATTTACAATAAATGAAGAAAACATAAGTATAATTGTATATTGCCTCCAGAAACTCTATGAACTTGGAGAAATGAAGAAAGTTGTACAAGTGTTCAGGTCTTTTGTTCACAGGGTTTCTATGAGTCGTCTTAAGACTCTACAAACTTAACAACAATAAACAAAACATAAATACGTGATTTTTTAAAAATTTTTATTTATTTATTTAATGTGTATACCGTCAAATTGGATCTGACTGGTACAGGAGGCGATTGTTCTTCCTTCTCCAGCAGAGCATCCGGTGGATTTGAACTGCGCACCTCTAGGACTGCAGTGCAGTAATACATGATATTTTATACATCAAAATATTTATACTGGGGGAAAAAAAACCCATCAAACCCTTTCTTCACCTTTTTATTCCCATCTTAAAAAAAGTACCTTGCACAAAGTAGGTACTCATAAGGCATTTGCTGGGAAAACAGTAATCAATATACGAATATTAATGTAATATAATGTAATATTAATGTAATATAATCTGAAAAATCTAAAGACAAAGTCTTTAAAATTATCCATTCTGCCTTAGAATTTTCCACTGCTACCTTCATTTTTACAAAATTTAATCCTGAGTCAAAAATTCAACACTAAAAAAATAGTTTTTGAGAATCGTGTCTACATGCAACATCAAGACAAGCTGTCTGCTGCATCACTGTCATCTACTGCAGTATAGATGGCTTGATTCCTCCTCTTAATTTCCTTTCTCTGTTCAGGTTCATGTTCATCACTCAGCCTCTTCAGTGGCACCTGAATTAAGGAATTCTCATCCCCCAACTCTACCACATGACCAGTTTTTCCCTTTCTAGCAACTGGGGAACCCAACGTGTCATCGGAAGATACAATCATGGAAGTTGGCAGGATTCGGACATCTGAGAAGCTTGCAGAGAAGTCAGAGGTCTGATCTGACGATGTGTTCATGTCACTAGGTCCGCTTACAAGGCTGTCTTCCTCGTCCTCCTCATCGTCTAACATGATTTCATCGGGATTGGTGGAGGACAACGCAGATGTGTCTGTGTTATATTCACTGGGTTCGCCTGAGTCATTACTCTCTGCATCTTCAGGCTCTGCGTCTTCAACAGGGCGGGGTTCTTCCCTGGCCTTCTGAAGTCGGACATTGATGTCTGTGATGCCAAGTTGGGCACAAAATTCAGTCGTCTGAGGATTGATCCGGTGAACCAGCTGCGTGTGGTTCTGTGGCTTTCTGGGGTCATAGCAAACAGCTGTCATACTGAAGTTACAGGGAACTCTGAGGTCATGATTCAACTTCTCTAAGACTTCTTTCATAGTTTCTTCGGTTGCACTATAATCCCACCTACAAAAGTCCAAACCAATCATTTTTAATATTTTTACAGGTATCAAGGAACAATAAGTAAATGACAACATTTTAATCACTAATTTTAGATGCAAAAACTTCAGAATTCCATTTAGGAAAATTTACATTAATTTAAGCATTTTGAAAAAAAAAATTTTAGAGTACCTAGTCCTTAACACATATCCTAAAGCAAGTATCAATTATTTAACCCTAAGAATCCAGCTCCGACCCTTTTTATAGTTTGATGTATTATTATTATTATTCACATACACATTTATTTTGGCTGGTGCTCAACTTTCCATCTTCTTGTCCTTAGAAGGAAAACTTACAGCTTTCGAAACTATACAGTCAGTAACCTTGAATTGTTCTGACATCCATTCGGTAATAATTCTCTTACATTTGAAGGGAAAAATTGGCAACAGATAAGGGTGATGTGAGCCTAACTTAGTATTCAATGCGGACATGACAAATGTGTCTCTATCAGTACGTTTTTACAACAAGGAAAAAGGAGACAGAAGAGAAATGCAGAGGGCAAGTTATTCATAAAGTTATACCTTGTGTGCAAGCCATTGTTTTCAGGCATATTCCACAGGCACCCAGTCACATTAACAAGATCATCAGTAGCCTTGAGAATGGTGAGCCATTCGACATCATACTGCAAGCCATCAGGAGCACTGGGGTCATGTTCTATTTCTATCACCTACAGGAAGAAATGGGTACTGTCAAGAAATCCATGTTGTTGTTCTGTGCCGTCGAGTCGCTTGCAACTCATAGCGACCCTATGTACAACAGCCCTAAACCCTGCTCTATCCTGTGCCAATTGCACTGCCTCTGACACACCCATCCCGATTACCCCAGTCATTGAATCAATCCACCTCACAGAGGGTCTTCCCTTCCTGCGTCGTCCCTCCACCCTCCCAAGCATGATGTTCCTTTCCAAGGACCTCTCCCCTCCTTACAATGTGCCCAAAGTATGTCAGATGAAGCCCCAGAATCTGTAATCTGAATATCCTCTTTAAAAAAAAAAGGTAATGTAACTTAATAAAAAGAGAAAAGAGCATCTCATTATTTCTGTACCTGAAGGAAATCTCTGTGTGGTAAGCATTTGTCTAAGGCTAAAAATCGGGTCGTTTTTGCTGGTTGTTCTCTGTCTTTAGCCTAGAGCAAAGAAACAAAGGGAGAATGTGAAGACATGCCCGGTAACTTACATACAGACAAAACCGAAAAGTATCTTTATTACACACAGCCCTACGTTGTGCGTCTAAGAAATGATTACTGCTTTTCCAAATCAAATCACTTCTATGCGAAATTATGCAACTATGGCAAAGAACTGAACCTTGACGCTTTCTTTATGAAAGTAAAATAGCAACAAATTAAAGCATGTAACTTAAGGGTTAAAGAAGAAAGAAGGTCTTAAAAGCAAATTGGTTAATATTAAAATTACAAAACCTAGGGAGCTCTGGTGGCCTAGTGGCAAGAAGCTGCACTGCAATCCCAGAGGTATGCAGTTTGAATCCACCAGATGCTCTGCTGGAGAAGGAGGGGCAATCTCCTGTACCAGTCAGATCTGACCTGATGATACACACACAAAAAATAATTTTAAAAAAGATTACAGAACTTCTAGAAAGAAACCCATGGGGAAAATTTTCAGAGGCCCAAGTTTGGCAAGGATTTTTTGATATGGCACTTGAAGAACACCAAGTTGGTGGATCAGGTGACTCTCATCAATAGATAATAAACTTGTAAGAAGATAAATTTTTAAGTCAAGTGGCAATGGCTTGAAGGAAAAATGAAAACAACAACAACATCTCTTTTTCTCACTAAAGATGAAGAGAATAATTTTTCAAGAGAAAAAGGTCTAGAGAAAGATCTTTAGGAAGAACTTTCTGTGCAGAAAAATTCCTCATGTTTCTTTAACGACGTTTCATATTTTTATGCAAATAACACACTCATTATACTTTTTGCAAACCATGTAAATAAGCTCATGCATTATTTCCAAATTCATGCTGTATCCTAAGACTGGTCACTGAATTTTTTTAAAAAAAAGGTAATTTTATCATTTCCATGCATTATATGCTACATAAATGGTACAGGAATATGCAATGCAAAGCATATCCCACTCCTACAAAGTGGCAAGGCCCAATTAAAGTTCAAAAATTCCCCAGAAGAAACCTTTATTAATAGTTTAAAAAGAAAGTTTCTGTCCATGGAATTCTTTCATTTACAAATCATATTTAACTAAATTTGAGTTAATAATTAAGGGAAAAGGAAATAAAACCTTCATGTTACCATAGAAACCTATCCTTTCCACCAAGTACAAACATCAATTGACATACAAGAGCCCACTACGGCAGTCACAGTGTCAATCCACCTGGTTGAGGGTCTTCCTCCCCTTTGCCGACCATCCCCCCTTCCCAGCATCATGTCCCTCTCCAAGGAATAGCCCCTCCTAGCAACATGCCCTAAGTATGTGAGGCAAAGCCGCGTCATTGTTGCCTCCAAAGAGCACTCCGGCTGCACCCTCTCTGAGATATATCCATTTGTTAGGTGTCATCAAATCAACTCGTCTGTAGATACTAAGTTTAAATTAATTAATTTTAAAAAACCCAATACAACAAAAAAATCGTGTTTTACCTGATGCTGCATGAAGGCTGCAAACTTCACGTGAAGATGTGCTGAGAACCAGTAAGTGGGCTGGATGTGTTTCAACAGCTCTGAGGCAGCAGGACTCCCTAATGTGTTATTCTCCACTTCTTGTCGGAAAAAAGACTTAGCCTTGAGAAGCTGTTTCTTATTTCCATAATGATATATACTTCTTGGCCAATCGTGAGACAAGAATACATCTACAGGCTGCTTCAGCTTTAAAATTAAGGGTGAAAGAAAGTAAGCGCTTAAAAACAGACCTAAAGAAATCCCCTTTTCTCTTGACCACTACGATTCCATGACCCGCCTCACTCATCTACACAACCATTTCCCCTCCTAGATTGCTCCCTAACCTATACTAAGGACACTTGAAGAAAGCCACAGACAGCAGGAGTTTGGCCACTCACGCTCCCAGGCAGAGGAAGAACTTAATTTTTGCTTCATAAAGAAATGATCCCTATTTTCTAAGGAAGCCAGGGAAGAGACAGGCACATTCTGATCAGGCCGAACACTGGGCACTGGGTTGCTAAGGTGTAAAATGCAGACACTAAAGATTGCTAACGTTAATACAGTGATCCCAAAGAGAGACAAAAAAGAAATGGCCATCAATAGCCTGACGCTGCAGGCATGATGATAAAGAAATCAGGGAGGCTCTCCTACTTACTAGAGTTGGGAGGCCCGAGAAGGCTGTTTTCTGGGCTCAAGTTTGCATCTTTTTTTTTTCTATTTTGATGACGTATCATTTTAATTTCTTTCAATCACTGATGCAATGCTCAACTAACAAGGCCTCCCCTCCCCTCTCCTGATGCACTGCTTTGCAGAGTGGGACCGTGTGGATCTGCACTTTACCTCCCATCCCAGAGTCTCCTAAGGCTGAAGGCATCATGTCGCTCAGGAGGGCTGAGCATGGGCCTTGATGGACCTTGTGTGGTACCAGTATGACAGGTGTGCTTCTAACTTGTAAAGTGAGGGCAAGAACAACCCCGGCTCTCACAAGTGAAGGTGGCGATTTTACGAGAAGCTGTGTGTGAAAACTCCCTACCTCCGTGCTGCGTGTTTAATAGGTTCTTGCACAAAAATCTAAAGCCTGCTCTTCTAATTAAGCAGAGTTTTGTTATCACTCTCACAATTTTCTACTATTTCCTTTCTATCTAATTATAACAGTTACTGTTTAAATATTTTTATATTTTTCCTTCAAGTTCCCCAATATACACAGAAACCCAGGAGAGCCTCACAAGCTCCCACCTTTGATGGGATGCACTCTTAGCATTGTTCTATCACCCTCTAGTAGCAGAGAAATGTTTGTGTTTTCTTCTCTGACAGGCTTACACCAACCCTGCCTTCTGCTGTGCTGTGGCTGCTAGGAGCTGTCAAGTCAGAATCGACTCACAGATGACCCTCTCGTGGGTTTTCAGAGCCTGTAAACCACATCGGAGGAGACTGCCCACCTGTGTCCCCTGGAGCAGCTGGAACCTGTGGGTGGGCAGTGCAGACCCTCACCCCGAGGCCCCAGAGCTGCAGAAGTTCTGGATTCTACAGGTTCTACTATGTATTAAGAGCTCTTCTTGGAAGCAGAATATCAAAATTATCAAAATACATTTCTCTATAGGATGATTTCTTTCTCAAGTTTGCTGAAAAAGACCTTTTACATACCTGTTTTAATTTATAGACTTCAATATTTCTCACATGATATATACTTCTTATGGTAGATGAATTATAAGGAGGATACTCAAAATGACCTGAAATTCATAGACAAAAAAAAACCCACTGTATTCAATGCCTTTAAGCACTACACGATCCGATACAAATACATACACGCAATACCCTAAAACTAACATTTATTATCTCTTTTTTTTGGTTCTTAATATCCCTGTTAACAACAAAAACTTCACTGCTCTTAAGAAAATACTATTCACAAACACAGGGTTTAGTTTAACCCTAGAGAGATTGTTGTAAGATACATTTCTATGAAGTTTAAAGCATGCCATAAAAGACACTTTTTTAAAATCCCTTTTCAAAGGCTGTAAAGAACATGGAAAGAGACTGCTCTTCGTTCTCCTGAAGAGCAGCTGGTGGATTTGAACTGCTCAGCTTGGGAGTTGGTAATATAACTCCCTACCAACCAGGCTACCAGACCTTCCTTTATGGTGGTGACATAAAAATTACCACAAAGTAGTAACTGCCTGGTAAGGAAGAGGGGTGGTAAAAGGAGGGGCAGGGAGTCAAAGACAGGCAAGCAATGAACTTCAATTTTCTTTCTTAAAAATTATGCTTAAATCTGTCAAGAGTCCACAATTAAGGTTGCATAGTGGAATGTACTTGGGGTGGTGGGAGGGGTGCGGGGGGATTGTGTACCAGGGAGGGAGTCTTTCTTTTACTTTTGAAAGAGAGGAGCGAACTGGGGGGTGGGGGGAGAGGGCTTGGCGGGGAGAGAAGTGCAGCAATGAATGAATGGAAATCTAAATTCTCTGTAAATGTTCATTAAAATTATTAAAAAAAAAAAATTAAAGAAAATTATTCTTAAATCTGTAAACGTTCATTAAAATTAATAAAATTTAATAATAATAATAATAAAAGAAGGGGAAAAAAAATTATCCTTAAAAAAAAAGTATCCTGGCACTCTGGTAGCCTAGTAACAAGAAGCTGCTTTGCAATTCCAAAGGCAGGCGGTTTGAATCCACCAGATGCTCCGCTGGAGAAAGAGGGGAAATCTCCTCCTGTACCAGTTGCATCCGATTTGATACCCACAAAAATAATAAAATTTAGAAAAAAAGAAATTAAAAAAAATTATCGTAGTATCCTAAGACCTGATAAAATTTAATGATGGACGTATACATATGATATATAGTTCTATCACTACACTTATAGTCTATAGTTTAGTAGTAAAACCTGTTGGTTCACAGAAAAAACAAATATCATGACAAGTCGAGTTAAACTGTATTAGGCTTAAGTTACTCCGGATGGGGCATGCGAGTAGTAAAGTCTAAAGAGAATTCTCAAAAATAGCAATACCTTTTTGATAGTCATGAGATTTAAAGATACCAGAGACTCCACCAATTCTAACACCTCGGTAGTTCACCACACCAGCTAAACCTGAGGAAAAAAAATATGCAATTATGAGCTGATGAAACACTCTCTTTACTAACTGAAAATATACCACCTAAAGGAATGCACTTCCATGAAGTACTGATTTGATAATTAAGCATCCTGATGAAGCTATCTCTGACATTTCTCAGATTTCAACATCACACAACGCACACTGTTAGGTCTCATGAAGTCAGAAGTGATTCATAGCTGAATCTCCAGCAGATTTTCAGAGGCAATAAATCCCACAGGAGACTGCCCATCTTTCTCCTACAGAGCAGCTGATGGATTTGAACCACATGCATTTGGTGTGGCAGTGCAATTCCTTACCACCAAGCCACCAGACTAGAGAAAGGACAGCCAGAGTGTTCAGTGGAACAAAAGATGAAGCTTCGTCTCACCTATTTTGGGCTTATGGCTAGAAGAGGCTTAAATTTCTTAGATGCCTGTAAGTATCAGAAGGGTGGAGGGTCGGCAAAGGAGAGGAAGACCCTCAACCAGGTGTATTGACACAGTGACTGCTGCAATGGGCCCGGGTGTTAGAGATGAGGAGAGCCAGCACAGGATAGGAAAGTTCAGATGTGCTGTCAACTCAGCGGCACTTAACAACAAGCCACCAGAACTCCCTTAAGGCACACTACTGAAGAATAAGTATTAAATCACTTAATAAAAAGCTAATGTATCAAATCCACTGGCCAATTCTTTTGAAAAAAGATACAGCAGTGCACTTAAGTAAGGACTTCAGCTTTGGAAATGTGGGGCAATTCTACTCTAGCCTGTAGGGCCTTTATGAGTCAGAATGGATTTGATTTGAGTTTGTTTACGGGTGAGGAAGTGAGCTGGAAAGTACATCAGCAAACAGACTCAGAAAAAAGCAGGAACAAGTGAGAGAAAGTATTAAGAAGGAAACAGACATCAATTGGTACCTTGCTGTGATGTGTGGTCGCGTCGCGACCTATTCACAACTGAACTTCCTACAGATTTTCAGAGACTGTAAAACTGTACAGGAGGACACTGTGCACCTTTCTCCCCTGAAACCGCGTAAGGATTCAAACCACCTACCTTTGGGTTGTTGTTATTGTTAAGTACCATAGAGTCCTAGACAACCCACAGCAACCCTATGAATAAAGTCTTGAACACAAAACTTTCATTTTTCTCCAAGTTCATAGAGTTTCTAGAGTCAAGCTTTTCTGAAAGTGTGGATGCCACTCCTGCTTCCAAAAACCAGGCCCAAGGGCTCGAGGCCAAATCCAATCAGCTCATACCCTAATGCAATCAAAAACCAGGCCCAAGGGCTAAAAGTCTTTTTATGTACGAGGCCAAATCCAATCGGCTCACACCCTAATACAAAGGAACCAATCAGCTAAATTCAAAATGTAGAACACTGTTATAGGAAAAATTTTCTTCAACAAGTAAATACACAAATAAGAGAGAAAAACGTGAAACTCTTATAGACAGAGACTTCCAAGTCATGGCAATCAAACGAAATTTGATTCTGTGTGATTGTTACTAACTGAACAAGTCCATCCTAACACATCTTTAAAAAGAATCAAGTGAACCTGACCATGAACTAGGCAACAGATAATAAAGAATTCTTGCTACTTCAGTGAGGAATAATAGCACTGAAGTTGTGGCATTTAAAAATCCTTATTATTTAGAAATTTTTAAGGAAGAATATAAGGTAAGATGACAGGATGTGATTCAAAATACTCTAGTCATCTCTATTTCTCTCCTCTCTCTGTGTGTGTCTCTCTCTCACCTCCCCCCCCCGAAACAAAACAAAATTGGGGGAAACGAAAGACTGGAACATGCACAGCAGAACGAAAACAGCTGCTGAAGTTGAGGAAAAGCACAGAGCTTCAATACAGCAACTTGACTTCTGCATGCTCACTAATTCCCATATAGGGAACTTTAAGTTGTTTCATTTAATAAAAAGTTAGGAAAACATGAAGACACTGCAAATTCTATAGGGAGCTCTGGTGGCCGGGAGGAGGACAGAGCTACACGGCCAAAGGACAACAGTATGAATCCACTAGTTCGCTTCAGAACCAACTGTGCCCAAGGTCTCTGCAGGTAAACATTCAAACTCAAGTTCCCTGCTCTTGAGCAGGTGCACATCGCTGACCCTTCACTGAGTTTCTAAAGGCTGTAAAGTGTTAATGGGACAGGATTGCTCATCTTTCTTCCAGGGACCGAGTGGTGGCTTTCACCTGCCAGAGAGGCGTGCCCACTGGGTTTGTAGCACAACCTCTTAGGGGATCAGGCCCTTAGTGTAACATTAACTACTGCTAAAACTTAGCAAGCAGCAGTGGCATCCACTTCCTAAACAACAGGCCTCTGGGAACTCTGGGAACCGCGATTAACAACGATAGTTACAGACAGAAAGGCTTCAGGCCTTTTGTTCATAGGGTTGCTGTGAGTCATGCTCAACTCCACACCAACAACAAAAACAACTGCTAAAATACACGAAGAAAGCATATGCAAGGTTTCATTATTTACTCCCTAAACTACATTTTCCTCATTGACTACTTAAATGATGTAATGAAGGCATAACCCCAAATCCCATCTCAATGATGTTGTTGAGCTGCTTATGACTCTTAGGGGCCCTACGTACAACAGCTCTGAACCCTGCTCTATCTTGAGTCAACCTCATTGTCTCTAACACATCTATCCCCATTACCCCAGTCACTGAATCAATCCATCTCATCAAGGGTCTTTCTCTCCTGTGCCGTCCCTCCACCCTCCCAAGCATGATGTCCCTCTCCAAGGACTGTTCCCTCCTTACAACATGGCCAAGATATGTCAGAAGAAGCTTCAGAATCCTTGCTTCCAAGAAGCAGCCTGGTTTCACCCTCTCCAGGGTTTTCTCTCTTAGCAGTCCATGGTATTGGTCTCTTGCTACTAGTTTACTAATCCCAACAAGCTACTCCATCATATAAAGCCCCCAATCACCAGGAACACATACCTAAGTAATAAATATTTGGCGCCACCCAGCCTCCATACGGTAACTCCTGCAAATGATTGGAGGCTTCATGGTTTCCTCCGATGAAGATCGTTAAAACTGGAGCCTTTTTCTCGCCCGAGTAATATCTACAACATCAGAAGAGTAAAGCTGTCAGTTACAAACAGGGGTAATTTTAAAAGGCAAAGGGAGAAAAAAAAAAAAAATCTGAGCTACACATAAAAGTTTAAAAAAGTCCTTCCCAGACGAACTGCTCAGTTCCACCTTGCCCTTAAGAATGAACTGCCACTTTAAAATTTTTAAATCAGTGGCAAATTCAACATGGTTGACTCCTCTACTCAGTTAGCTGCTACCATCTCAACTATTAAAACAGAGACTTCACACACAGCCTAGGGGTCCAGTAATAATCCCTGGAGCGTGGAATAAATCCGTCCCAGAGTTAATGTGCCTGTTTGTTTTCAGAATCATGTACTGTTTACTGAGGGGATTAAAATGTAATGATGGACATTAGTGATTGTATCACATTGTACACAAATGAAATAAAAGGTTACAACTCATATGACTGTCTTAATTATCGTGGAATAAATCCGTCCCAGAGATAATCTGCTGTTTTCAGAATCGCGTATTGTTTATAGAGGGGATTAAAATGTCATGATAGACATTAATGGATGTATCACATTGTAGACAAATGAAGTAAGTTACAAGTCATATGACTGTCTTAATTATCTGCCATTATCCAAAAAGTCAATGGGACAAAAAGTAAAAAAATTAAATGGAGAGCAACCAGGAAAGTGCAATCGAGCAAGGTGGGCAGCTGTCCCTTGGACCTCTGTCGACCTGTCATCCCTGGGAAGGGAGCCCCGAGGGGAAAGGGTGCAGTGACATCTACCGAGCGCCAGGCCTCGGCGATCGAAGGCGGGAAGGGACCCGGGCATCGCCCCCCCCCCACGCCCGCTGGCCGCCCCCCGACCCCTGGTACCTGTAGAAGGTCTGCATGTGGCGGTACTTGGGCGGCACGGCCATGCAGCGCAGGTCGGCCTCGTTGCGCACCGCCTGGAAGTCTCCGCAGCACAGCAGCAGGTCTATCGGGCCCGCGCCGCGCCGCTCCGCTACCGCCAGGGTCTCGTAGAGCCTGTCCAGCTCGCCGTGGCAGCAGCCGGTCACGGCCACCCGCATCTTGCCGGTCGAGACTGCAGCGAGGTAAATCTCCGGACCAGGAACTCCGACAGATCCGCTCTGCAAGTCCCAGCCAAATGAACGGCCACAGACCTCTGGCTACTGGATCCGCTAAAATAGCGCGCTTCTGACGTCTAACTCTCGCGAGAGGACGCGATCCGGAAGGGGCGGGCACACTGAGGGACTCTTCTGATTGGGTTTTGCTAATCCTATGGGCGGGCGTAATTAATAGGACTTTTTTTAAATTTTTTTTTTTAATTTTTTTTTTAAATGTTTTAATTTTTATTGCATTATTTTTATGTGTACCGTCAAATCGGATCTGACTGGTACGGGAGGAGATTGCCCCCTCCTTCTCCAGCACAGCATCTGGTGGATTTGAACCGCATACCTCTGGGTTTGCAGTGCGGCGTCTTGCCACTTAGGACACCAGAGCTCCCTTGATTAATAGGACTCTTGATTGCTCCCAAGGCTCAAAGTCTCTAAAAATGGAAACTGTGTTCATGACAAATTATGATCATGACAAACTATGTCCAACATGGAGAAGCAGGGGAGTCCCAGAACACTTAATTGTACTCATACGGATATTGTGCCTAGACCTGGAAGCTGTTGTCTGGACAGAGTAAGGTTATATTATTGTGTTGTTAATTGCCGTCTCTTTCGGTCCCATCCCAAAGAAGGGTGACCCAACAGAGTGTGGAAACTATAGAACAATATCATTAATTTCACATGCAAACAAGATTCTACTGAAGATTATCCAAAAATGACTGGAATAGCACATCAGCAGAGAATTGGCAGAAGTCCAGGCTGGGTTAGAAGGGGTCGTGGTACTAGGGATACTGTAGCTGATGTTAGATGGATTTTTTTTCTTTACATCTCTACTCTCCCTTCTTTCTGACAATCTCTTTTCAAATGTCCTATTTTCCACAATTGTAACATTTTGTTTGAGAAAAATTTAAAGTTCCTTTTAAAGTGGCTCCTAATACATTGGATGGATAAGAACTAACTAGTTCCAATGTCCGTACAAGCATGTATATATTCATCTAAGGAAGCATTCTGAGTCTCCAATGGTCTAATAGCCTTTTGACATTCTGAATTAGCATTTTCAAATGCTAAGGGTTTTAACAAAATCTCATCAACCTCGGACTGAGATACTGCTCTATTAATAGCATCCTTAAATCTAGATAGAAAAATCACTATATTTTTCATTTTCAAATTATGTTGTTCTGATAAAGGATTGATATCCCTTTGCTGAAATTTCTACTTTATCCCAGGCTTGCATACAGCAAAGCCTTACTTGTACAATCACAGCATCATCATATTGTAACTGAGCTTGTACTTCAAGCTATTGTCCTCTCCCCAACAATTGATCAGTAGTAACATTAACAGGAGAATTTCTAGATAAATTAATCCTCTCCATATTTGTAGCTTCATCAGTCCACCAAGTTCTAAACTGTAAATATGCTCCAGATTCCAAAATTATCCTAACCATGGACTCCTAATCATAAGGAATTAATCTAAATTCTGTAGCTAATCCTTGTAATATGCCTCTTACATAGGTAGAATGCATACCATAAGCAACCATGGCTTGCTTTAATTCTTTAATCTCCTTATAAGATAACGACTGATTGATAAAATTGATACCCTTGGGATAATCTTGATCAGGAAGCATACCCTGAATTGTTACTGGAAATACAAAAGCTCCTTTTCCCCATGAGATAAATCATCTTGGTTTGCCTGTTGCAAGGCTTTAGAAATGGCTGATAAAGTCATCTTAAAAGTAGTCACTCCCACCGGAGCATGATTCATATAATTAAATAATATAGAATCTGGAAAAACAGTGGCTGCTGATGGAGTTGTATTTTTACTTTGGTAATATATTTCATTACAAGAACCCAATTTGTCTATTTTATTAGAAAGTTCTAAAACTTTTTAACTTAACTTCTCATAAGGACTATCATCCTGGATTATGTTGCTCAATTCCTCCGGAGTTGGAGGTAGAGGAATTTAATCCTCCTTTGTATCAGATTCACTATCACTCTCTTCTGAAGAGGTTTTTTCTTCTAATTTTTCAGACATCTCCTCTTCTGGCCCTAATGGTTTTAAACTAATGAGATCAAATCACATAGTAACCAAATCAAAACAGGAATCACATCTCCGTTTTGATAAGCTCTTTCTAAAGGTGACAAAGGTTGTTTCTTGCCTTTAGCTTTAACCTTCTTTAATGTAATATTAGTTAATTCAGATTCGTGCAAAGATTCAGCCATCTTTCTTTGCAAATTTTTTGGATTACGAGTACAATCCTGCACAGACTTTTAAACTACTCTTTTCAAAGCCCTTACTGACCAAAAATTGATAGGAGTCTGTTCTCTTTTCTGATGTGCTTTTTGTAAAGTTTGTGCAACATTTTGCCAAGTTTTTAAATTTAACTGCATTTAATTTACCAGTTTAAACCAGTTTCAGTATTTCTGCACATACTGAAACAACTGCCAAAGTGACCTTTCTCTTACTTTCATCCCTGAGCTCTTAAGTAATTCTTTATTTAATGTAATGTAGTGAGCTTCAGAGGATGGATTGTTACCCATTCCTCCTTTTTTCACTTCTATCTCTGACTTTTTCTGCAGTTTACTTCAGACAGAGGGTAGGAAAAATACCCATGAAATTTTTTTCCACTTTGCCCTGTGAATCTCTCCTTCACGAATAGAGGGACTTCTCATGAAATTTCTTCTACTTTCCTCCCTGAATTTCTCCTTAAAGGAGTGAATGAAAAAAACTTCATAAAACCAACACTTTTATTTTCTTGTTGTGGCACTTGGTAATCTTCTTTGTATAGGTCTTTTGTATCTCTGGGTATATATATCCCTAGGTATTTTTTTTCCCCGTGACTATTATAAATGGTATTGTTTTCTTACTTCCTTTCCAGAGTTCCTTTTGTTACTGCCTAACAACAACAGCAACAAGGCCTCTGAGCATCCACCCTGACAGAGGCTGTTGTTGTTGTTTGGTGTCGTAGACAACTCATGTTGTTGTTGTTGTTTGATGCTGTCGAGTCATAGACGACTCATAGCGACCCTATGAACGAACGGCCTGAGCACTGTTCATAGGGCTTCTGGAGGCAAGCCATTTCAGAAGTGGATGCCGCTCCTGCTTCCAGGCTTGTTTTAGTCGGAAAGCTCCAGCCAACACTGTCCACCATGGGGAACCATTCTCACATTTGACACATCAGTGTCACAGTGTTCAGCATCACAGCAACCACGAGTTACCTCTGTACAGCAACGCACAGGAAGCACATAGCCGCCTCCACTCCCCTCTCCCTTTGGGGCTTGAAGCCCCTTCCTGCCTTAAACCCTAGGCCAAGCCTGGAGGGCCTCGCTCCTGGGGGGCAGAGCAGTCCTCTGGCAGAGAGGCTAGTTCTAATTAATTGAATTATTATGGCCCTCAAAACCACCAGGTGGCAGCACACTCTAAATTAAACACACACACACCCCCTCAACTGGGTGGCAGCAGGGTTTTTTAAAAATTTTTGTAAGCTATATTGAAGCTTCCAATGTGGTAATTAGTCAAGGGAAGTTTCTGAGGTCTTTTTTGTTGTGTGTTTCTCTTCTTTTCTCCCTCAAAAGTGGATGGCCTTGAGCCTAGACTAAGGGTAAAGGTGGAAGCCTGCTTGAGGGTGTGACTTTAAAATCCTGTAGGGCATTACTTTTAGAAGAACATTGTTTTGTAAAGACACAGCAATCATTTGTCTATTTGCTGTACTGAACAACTTGGAGTTGCTGTGATGCTGAACACTATGGCATAGTTTCAGTGTTTACCCATTATGTACAATGATTGCATGAGCTTCCAGATTGATTTATTCTGGGAAGCAGGAGTGGCATCCACTTCCTTAACTAGATGCCTCTGGAAACTCTACAAACTCTCTTATAAGTGTACAGAAATTATGTTAGTTATAGAACAAATGTAAGGTCTTTTGTGCAACGCTTACTCTCAGTCGTATTCGACTCAACAACACTTAACCACTGCTAAATGAGACTAGTGCTGTTCTATCTGGAGGAACATTCTTCCACTTTGCAGTCTTTGTCAATGTGCTGTATGAGATAACTTGGGTTGGCTATGATAATGAACCTTGTGCCACGGGAATATCAAATACCAGAATGGTTTCCCAGTGTGGACAGTGTTTGGTGGCACTCCTAGTTGTAAAACAGGTTTGGAAGCAGGAGTGGCATCCACTTCCTAAATCACATGCCTCTGGAAACTCTATGAACTTGGAGAAACAACAATAGCTATGGAAAGACTTTAGGTCTTTTGTTCATAGAGTCTTTATGAGTTGACTTTGACTCAACGGCAATCAACAACAACATATTGAAACTCAGCATCAAGAAAACAAAGTTTCTCACCACTGGGCCAATTGGCAGCATCATTATGGATGGTGAAGAGATTGAGATTGTTAACAGCTATAGTTTTGCTTGGTTCCACAATCAACAATCTTGGTGCCAGCAGCCACGAAATCAAGAGACAAGCTGCATTGGGAAAGTCAGCTGTCTGAGACCCCCTCCAGAGTACTGAGGAACAACGTCATCAGACTAGAGACTAAGGTGCGCCTGATCTGGGCCATAGTCTTCACAGTTGCATGCTATGCATCAGAGCTGGACAGTGACTAGAGATGATAGAAAGAAAATTGATGCCTTTGAACTGTGGTTCTGGAGAAGAGTCTTGAATATATCATGGACTGCCAGGAGAACAAAACAGGGTTGTCCCGGGAGGGTGAAACCGGCTGCTCCTTGGAGTCAAGGATTTTGAAGCTTCCTCTGACATACTTTGGGCATGTTGCCAGGAGGGACATCATGTTTGGAAGAATGAAGGGACAGCGCAGAAGAGGAAGACCCTTGATGCGATGGACCAATTCAGTAATTGGGGTAGTGGGAGTAGGTGTGTCAGAGACAGTGAGGTTGGCACAGGATAGAGCAGGGTTTAGGGCTCTTGTACATAGGATCGCTATGAGTCAC